AAAAAAAAAAAAAAAAAAAAAAAAAAAAAAAAAAAAAAAAAAAAAAAAAAAAAAAAAAAAAAAAAAAGGAAGCAAGACTGATGGATTGGGATTGCTTTATTTATTTATTTATTTATGCATAGAAGAATCAGACGAATTACTATCATTATCTTATTAATCATATCCCATAGCATAAATAAAACAAAAGCAATGAATGAATTTCATGACATTACATCACTGTATTGTTTTGTTTTATTCCTTACAGTTATAAGAGTGAGTTGAGAAGCTCAAAGTGCCTTAGGAATTCTTCGTAACGTATTGGAGGGAAGTGGGAAAGGTCTCTTAAGTCTCTCGCATGAAGAGACAAAGCTTGATGAAATGATGGAGATGGAGGGGGGAGTATGTGGAGTGAGGAGAGAGAAGAAAAGGAGAAATCCCTTGGGCAGAGTTCGTGCAGCCTACTGGAATTCCGGCTTCAATGAATACAAGGGGGAAGACCTGAACTTCTTACGAAAAAGATCATTATCACAGAGACAGAGAGGAGGGGAGGAAAAGGGAAATGGAGAGGTTTTTTTTTGTGTTGATGGGAGAGGGGGGGGGGGGAGTCTGTCTGCCTATGCCTGTTGTAGTATGATGCACGCGTATGAACCTCAGCGCCCGGTTCAAGGCCAACCAGTATTTTTACCTCTCCTTTTCTTCTTGTCTTTTTTCTCTCTCACTCACTCACTGACTTGCAATTCCTATTCGCTGCGCGAGATGGAAGGGAAGAAAAAGGGACTGACCGGAAGGGAGTTGTAGACGTGACTTAGATTCGTCGTTGGAGGCATGGCCGCTGCTGCTGCTGTCCACGTCCGACACCCCGCTGTCTGCCGGAGACGGCGGCAGCGATCCTGCAAAACAACAAACTCAAATTAAAATCTCTGCCATGCCTCTTCCCGAACGGATCACGTATGAGAAGCACTGCAATTCCGGGGCTGGGGGGGGGCGACGACAGGGGATAAACTCAGTGCAATGATCGGATGTAGAAAATATGTGGAAAAAAATCCGTTATCATAGGCCGAAGGGGCCTGCAAGGGATCTTCCATTGGAGAAAATTTCATCATCCCGGACCAAGCATTCGATGCCGTTAGAAAAAAAAGACCTAAGAGGCCAGCTGGTGAGAGAAAAACCATATGGTCCCCCGAGGAAAAATCCTGTTTTGGGCCGGAAAACCCTCCGTTGATTTTCTCTCGCATTCCTTTATACTCTTCTTACACATTCTACTCGTTTCCAGAAAACTAAAAATATGCAAGAATGCACACATTGCGCCATTCTCTGTCTTTGACAGGACATCTGTCAAAAATCCTAGTCCTCTAAAGGAAATAACCCCGACCAGAATGGAGGGTGGAAAAAGAAGGGGAGACAGGGTGGTGGGGTAGAGTTTTTCAAGGGCGAAATAGAAAACATGCCCCCGCTGACAAAAATAGAACCATCTTCCATAGCAAGGGGGAAAAACCAGAACGAGAATAACAACCACGATGCTCTTCTTTCTCCCCTCTCTTGCTGGGTATGCAGAGCCATGCAACCCAGAGGCATTTTTATTTTCGTTATCTTTTCACTTTTTTTTTCCTTACTTCCTTTTCCAGGAGGGAAAGTCCTTGCGTACGTAAAGTACGAAGGTACTCATGGCGGGGTACGCAAAAGACACAATCTGGCATCTCTTGGGAATTTCCCACATCTCCGACCACTTGTCTTCACTACATCAGAGACAGTACAGTAAATACGTACAGTACAGTACAGTACAGTACACTGCATTGCACTGCACTGCACTTGGGCTTCCTTTTCTTTCTTCGTCCTATATCCGGTTCAGAGCCGACGCAGCCTTCATGCTAATGAACGACATCTGATAAGGAATGAGATCCCTCCGACGCGCATTCTCTGTTAGGCACGAAGAGGGGCAAATTGTTAAGGGATTCCTCATTGTATTCGTTTACAGAGAAGGGAAAGGAGATGAGGACTGACAGTTGACCAAGAAGATCCCCCACCTCGTTGCACAGTAATTGGTAATCGATCCCCTAGCCATGGACATACAAATCCCCTCAAATGCCATGGAGCTTGGAAAGAGCTCATCAAAGTTGTTTGCGGAAATCTCTCCCCACCCTTGTGTGTGTATTTCTCCGACTCCCACCACCCCCACCCCCTCCCTCCCTCCCAAGGTTGACCTTGGACTTGTGGACTGAGAAAAGGGGTAAAAGACTTGTTTTTCGGATTCCTCACACACAGGGTGGGGGTGGTTCCACGCAAAAGGGTTCAAAACAAACCTGCTGGATCTCTCTTAGCCCCCCCTTACCCCTACCCAGAGTTGTCTCCGTCAACAAACACACCGAGTTGGCTTACCGGTTTTGGTGGTGGATCCAGCATAAGCGACAGTCCTGTGACCAGCCAGGATGGCTGGGTGAGGAGCGGCGGAGGAAGAAGCAGCTGCTGCTGCAGCAAGGGCAGCCGCAAGCGGGTGGGTGTGATGAAGACCACCAGGACCAGGACCTGCTCCGCTAAGAAGCCCTTGAAGCAGGGTCCTGTGATGCCGCTCTGCCACCAGAAGACATCCGGCCATGGAACCCATTCCAGGCCCACCATCCATGTCCAACAGGGCTTGAGCGGCTGCCAGAGTCCTCTCTCCACTGTCCGCTGTATCAACTGCACAACAAAAATATAAAAAATTCAAATGCGATCGAGTTCCACAGTCATGGATGTTCCTTATCAGCCCATCATATTTTAATAGGAGAAATGAAGAGAGAGAGAGAGAGTGTTTTTTTTATTCTTGAGGCAGCTGCGCCGGCCTTTTCTCGACTCGACTCGGGGTCTTCAACCCCGTCAGATATTTCAAGGACAAGGCAACAAAGGGGGAAAAGGAAAGAGGAAAAGGGGGGAGGCAGGCGAACCTCAGTCTCGCCACAGCAGCCTGCCGCGGGAGAGCGAGGAAAAACAAAAAAAAAAGGGGGAATAAAAAAAAAAAAGAAAAAAGGGGAGAGTAGACCCCTCCTCAAGCAAGAGGAAGTGAGGAAACTCTTCGCGGAATTTCTCAATTGCCCCCTTCCCCTTCTCAGGTTATGTCATTTTCTTCCCCCTTTTCTTTTTCTTTCCTAGGCGCTATCCCTTTCTTTTTTTTCGTGCTTCCTTTTCCACGTCTTCACCTTCATCGTGATTTTCCGAAATTCCCACTTCAAAAGCAGAATGAGTCAACAAAACATTTGGAATTCCAATTCGATTCATGCCGTCAATCCTCTTCAACTTGTGCATGCAATATTATGGTACATGTCCTCCACAAAATATAACAGAAATACTACTAACAAGAACCTTCGGAAATGCATTCGTCATCAAACATGAGTATTATACGAGGATGACGGATGTTCTCTTGGTCTAATTTCCCGGATGCGAACGAATAAGAGGTCAGGGAATGCGGAAAAGCAGAACGGAAGTGGTGAGAGACGGAAGGAAGGAACGGTCATATCGGATCCTGTCCTGCCCGTCTCAACCGGACGGGAAGTGCGCCAGATATGTACCACAAGAGCCACCTCTCACGCTGCATTACGATGACAAGCTGGAAGAACAGGAAATGAAGCAGCATGGAGGGAGAAAGACTCCCTATTGGGGTCTAGAGATTCAATGGTAGGGGAAGTGAGTCACACTGAGATGAGTGTCTCCTCCCCATTCATCCCCGGGGAGGAAGATGGAAAAGGAAAAGTCTAGAGAACAAGGAGGGGGAGCTACAGGTAGAAGAGGAGAGAGAGAGACCCGTAAGCGACTAGCGAGAGGTTACGTCAGGATTGCATCATGGAGATCCTGCTCCACTGACCCACATGGAAAAAAGAGGGAGGAAATCTCCTTTCACTTTTCTATTCAGGTAGGCAGGCAGGCGGGGAGACAGCCACCACCAGCCCCATGCCCAACGAGCGTGAGCGTGCGTGCGTGTGTATGTGAGTGAGTGCGTGAGTCTGTATAACCGCCATCCACCTGGGTCATGGCCATCCATTCCCCATTCCCTTCCCTTTTCCTGCTGGGAAGAACAGCCCGGAGGACCCGGGTCATTACGAAATCCCCTCCAGTCCCTCCTCGACTAACGGGGTCAGCTTAACGCGTCTCTCCCTATCTCTCTCTCTTTTTTAATATCTCGTACACGAAATCACGTCAATCACCTCACCGCATCCTATCCAGTAGATTCTTGCTGAAGTTGTAAGATCGTGCCTTGATGCAATGGCTCATACAGAGTTGAAGTTTTCTGGTATCGGTCCAAGTCTGAGATCTCGGCTGTCATTGATTTCCCATGAGTGCTGACCTATCTCTAGGTTCGAATTTGTCCCCAAAAAAGTACTCCAACGTACCAACCAATGGCATCATCACAGGCAGCAACAGGGAATGGAGAATGGAGGGGAGGGGAGGCGTGCCTGAGGAAATCGGCATGTTGCGACAACGTCTTTCCTCTCTACATGGGATTGCCGCAACCGTCCTATATTCCTCGGCCTGAGCCTGGGGCCTTCTGTAGCTATATGTACCTCTCCCCCTTGTCTTTCCTACACTCCTCATCTACTGGGGACCTTCGTTCGACCACATATCAATAACAAAGAATGCACAGTAAACCCGTGTATTTCTAATTTGAATCTCAGATATGGTTGGTTACACAGAACCCTCTAGAACCCTTCCTTGGGTCATGCTGATTTCCATTATCATGTCTGATTAACCACATGTCTCTCAAATGGATGGCAACACCTAACTCCACGAGAACTCAGTGAAGTGACTGAAAGTGTTGTCACTATTTTTTCATACGGAAAACTCTACCCTGAACAAACGACGCACCAATAACGTCTCTATTTTCAGCTTTATTTTGAATAAGAGGCGACTATCCTCCATTAGTCAGTCGATTGCCTTCAATTAAATATTTTACTGGATTTTTCTATGTCTAAATAATATCAAGTTCGTGAGACGAGATTAAAAAAAAAACATTTGGGAAGTAGAGTGTACTATAGCCAACTTTGAAGAAATCTTCGTGGTGATACACAGTAACCATTAGGGGAAAGGCATAAGAAGCCTCATTTTCCTCCTTTCAAATAATGGAGGTTCACTACAAAAAAAGACCTTAAATCGTTCTCGAGGGAAGATTCCAACTACCAACACTGCCACCTTTCGATACGGTCTAAGTATTGCGGAAATCAAATCTGACAGGAGGCGCATCGACCCATCACATCCAGGGTCCTTCGCAATGCAGCTACAAGAAAACCAGAAAGGAAGAAGCTGAACTCACGAGAAAAAAATAAAATCAAATCAAATAAAAACCTTGGGGATAAATTTATCTCTGGTCCAACTCAGCAGACGTTCAATGACGGAAACGAATGAACGTTTTCCAAAGACAAGCCTGGTGGCATTCCATCCTGGACTGCGAATCCCCTCGAGTAGAACGAAATAAAAGGCGGGAGGAGGGGGGGGGGGGGGGAGAGAAAAGGGGAAAAATGACAACCCAGGACAAGGCGCGAGCTATATTTGGAAAGTAAGGAGGAAAAGCTCGATGAGAAAAAGAGGTGAATGGGCGCTCTCTTGCTTCTATCAATCTTCATTCAACTCGTGACGCACGAGATTCATTGAGAGAAAAGCGCTACAGGTGCCGGTTGCCATGGGAACGGGATGCCGATGACGTCACATGGCCACGGGAATGACGCACGGAAGCTCTTATCCCAGAATAGGCGGATCCTTCCTTTCCTTCCCTTACCCTATGGCCTCTTTTTAGGAGGTTTGGATCCCTTCATTCCAATTTTCTCCCAACAGGGGAGCGTGGGAATTTCTTCTTCTTCTTTGTCTCTGGCATAAACAAGTTTTTTCCCCCCCTCCTCCTAGCCTCAAGGACATATCCCCAGCCCTTCCCCGGAAACATTGTTTGGCATGAAATGAAGCCTAGCCCGAGGGCCCTTCTCGGAAACACTTCTCACTCGCAACAACAACGAGAAAAAAAAAATCATGTAGAAGGGTTGGAAAAAAAAAGGAAGGAACGGAGGGGAGGATCTTGACTTTCAGTCTCTTCTACGAGTGAGAGGAGATTCTCTCTCCCTTCACGCCTGACTTCATCTGGCAGACTGAATGGGGTGACCCCGATGTCTCGCTCGCATGCACAACGCTTTTCTAGTTCAAGTTCACACCCGAGGAGAAAAAGGAAAAGTCAGAGGAGAGAAAGGGGCATAGGGAGAGAACACCTTTTATCATCATCATCCTGATAATGATGGCAACAGATGGTGTGGGGACCCAAACTCCCATCAACGAAGTCTGTCTCAAAATAAAAAAAAACACCTTCCTCTACTCTCATTGGGAAATCTTAGACAATGAGACGAAGGGATGAAGGTGAGTGAGGGAGAGAGAGCGAATCCAGGTCATAATGGAAGTGAATAAGTCTCTAAGTGAAAGTCCGAGAGACCGGAACATCTCCTCGTTCGCAAGGCCTTCTACACTCTCTTTCAAAAAGATAGGGAAAAGAATAAGACCTCATTGCATATGCGTGTCTATAGACACGAGAGGGAGCGCAGCAGGAAATACCTTCCTTCCTTCCTCGCTTTGTTCATTCCAGAGATATCGATACAGGGTCGAGGTACACGTGGTGTCCCTGTACCTGGTCCCATCGGAACCGGAAGTCTCGAGCTTGCCTTTTTTTTTGTTGTCCTTTCTCGCTAGCATTATGTACAAGGATCGATTGTTCACGGAATAATGTTGCATGCATTAACGTGGTGCAGGGAGGGGCAAGCAAGCACAAAATATTCCTGCAGTCAATACAGGATCGTAGAAATCATGCTGCCAATGCCTGGGCGCTGACACAAAATCAGCTCCATCAAATTAGGGGCAACCCAGAGTCGGAACCTATCAGACTCTAGGGTTCAAGGAGCCAAGAAGAGTCTGTGGAAAGAAGAAACGTGCTGGGGGCAGGAAATTCACTGGTCGGAATCCCGGATGGCGCCAAGTTTACAGCTATCAAAACGATTCTCTCAACACAAAATCATGAATGGCAAAAATCAAGGAGCCGGAAGACTGGCGGAAGTCTTGTGACACTTTGAGGGTCGAGGGTGGACTCCGGACTGACAAAAGCAGAGCAGAAGAGAAACTTACGGTATCTCTTCATCAAAGACTTCTTGTATGCTTTTGGGTTTCGGGCAGGATCACCCCCGACATCGGAATCATCGGAATAATCCTCATGAGAATTGGGGGATTCGGATCGTTCCCGGACTCTTTTCCTCGAGGGACAAGTCAGGTCCAACGGTCCTTCCTCGGCAGAGTCGCTATCCATCCTAGAATCCCCCCCGTCTTCCTCTTCGATCACGATGAATCTCATTGAGCTGGGCACAGTCACACGCACACACGTCTACTGTCTTTTGAGTTCAGGAACAGTGTTCACAGAGATCACTGGAGAAGTAGGGAGTGTCTCATTGGGGTGCGTGACGAAGTGACGAGAGTGAACGGGAGCGTAGCAGAGAGCACTGCGAGCGAGTGGAAGCGGCATGGCCTACTGCAACAGTGACTCAGTGGCGGCGGGCTCATCATCATCCGCAAGCGGAAGCCCCCGACACCCGCATGCGCCTTCCGACCACCTCTCTCCCCCCCCCCCCCTCTCTCCTCCTTTTCAAAAAATTTCCTCTTCTTTCTTGTATGCTCACTCGCGACTTCTCAGGACACACGAGGAAACGAGACAGACAGGGAGAACGTGACTTTGAGAGATCTTAAAGAAGATGAATGTTACAGGTTCCTTCTACTCCCGACAAAGGAAAACGCAACTGCCGTTTTGGATTCCTATTCGGGCAAATACCTCCTTCCACGTGGCTCAACCGTGAAAGAACATTTCTTTATTCCAGTACCTTTCAGTACTTTCTATTCCGGTGGCTTTCTCCGGCCGTGAAAGAGTCCTCGTAGCTTCAAGTGTGCGCCAACACAAATCACCTGCGGAATAAGCCGACCAGAACCATTCCACCAGATGGAAGTTGGAGGATTTGAGGGCACTTTCCCTCGAGATCACGCATATCCACGATGCAAAAGGATCCGGAAAGAGCTAACACAAGTATTTGACTCGTACTAAATCCGTGTCGAATGAAGATATTACGATCCCTCAGATCGTCCGTATGTACTTGTAACATGTAAAAAAGTATACTTTTCATCATGCATGCGAGACCGTTATTTCCTCTTTCAGCAATTGTATTCTCTCCTACACCAGTACAAAATATTTAATGCAGTCGACTCCGTATAATGGAATACCACTTAATGGAATACTCCACATACCATTGCACGGTCCCGATATACGGTACGGTACGGAAGACAGTTTCGGTTATTGGAATACTCCGGATTATAGAATAAAATTCGCTGGTCCCAATATGCGGAGTCGACTGTATAAGGACAGCCACTTGCGAAGAACCTCGACATGAAGGAGCATGACGATAGGGGAATTTTAAAAAAATGTAGGAGAAAAGTAGCCAAGGAAGGAAGGAGTACACAATGAGGGCAGTGAATGAAACAGAGAGGAACTCAAGGGCATTGAGAGAATGTAGGCCTGCCTCTCTCTCTCACTTTCACTTTTGAGCCTGAACTTGCCCCTGAAATCAACGAAGCGGATATATCCCCCCTCCAGACCCGTATGGACAGACTTCCCTTGCACCCCCGGGGCATTCTCTCTCTTTCTCTCGGGGAGAGAGGGACACTGTCGTAGACTTAAGGAATAAAGCAGGCCCTATAGTGTGTGGGGAGAAACTAGGCCCCCGATGATGTAATCCATCCATCGCTCCCATTGCAACAGTCGTTTCACAATCCCCCCTCCCTGTCCCTTCGTCTCGCCGGGAACAACTCCCTCCTTAGGAACCACCGATAGATCAAAGTTCCACTTGGAGTTTCAAGCCCAACGTCAAACCATATGCAAGCTGTGGCTCGACGCGCGACATCAAGCAAGAGACTACTGCGATGCTACTAACGTCAGAGGGATTCAAATCTTCAGGCAAACTCAAATTTCCATGAACTTATACAAGAAGACTGGTTTTCTGAAAGCAGACATACAGACTGTTGTACACGAGAGTGTACTCGCCCGACTACCCCATTTTTTAAATTCCTCTTAATGATGATTGTGCAACTTTCGAAAACCTATACACTATGGCTCAATGGAAGACTAGGGCGCTGTAAGTCCGAAATAGACTACTCTCTTGCCATAGATGAGAAGCAGTTTCTTCTCATAATCTTTGGTTCAGGAAATGTAGAAAGCCCATACTACCCTGTACACTTCCAAGCAGGATATGTCCAACTGCCATCAGCCCTGATGTGCGACGAGTCTGCGATGACGGGAAGAGACAACGTAAGTCTTGGCACGTCGACGCGTGTGTGGCAATCTCGACGACTGAAATGATTCTGCACGTGGCATATTAACCCTTGCCTACGCCTGAACACGACTCGAAGCCCCATTCACTCTCGAAGATCATACAAGCTTGGCGGGAAGAAGAATTCCTACGGCAGAAGTCGCTGTATCACCAGATAACGAGGAAAAAGAGGAGCAGGGAAGAAGGGCCCGAGGGGGATGGGTATTCAGACTAATTCCATTGAAATGGATGGGGTGACCCCTCTCTCCCACGAGAGAAGGGGGTTGAAGGCGGAGGAAGATTGAGGCGTCGTTACATGGGTCATTTCCTGTAACAAAGGCGGTTGGTCTGCCGGTTACCTGCAGGTAAACTCACTGTTCGGTTTCCTGGAAACAATGAGGGGGAAAAGACTCTTCCCCTCTCCCTCCCTTTCCCCTGGCAATGGAATGGAATGGATGGGATCAATGCCCCCAACAGACTCATCATGTAGGGAAAAGGTTTGGCCCTGGACCCGTGTTTCCACGAACCCTTAGGAGACAAAGACCCTTCCGTGGAAACACGTGTGCGTCGGTTATCTTCATCTCTAGATAGGAGTGAGGACGGTGGGAAACCCCCAAGTCCAATCACGTGCCATAGATAAATTCGAACCCGGAAGAGAGAGCAAGAGCAAGAGAGAGGGAGAGTGTGCTAAAGAAGCAGGCTTATCATTTTGCGCGTGAGGCAAGTACTGTGAGTGAATGGATGAGCGACTGATATATAAATAGGGTACAGGAAGCACTCGCCGGCCTGACGTCAGTCCTCTTCAAACATTATTGGCCCGAGTGACGTGGGCGCTGCATTTAAGTTCTCGGATCGAGCCCGAAGACGTCAGAATTCCAAACGAGACCGCTATTGACGCAGGAACCCATGTCAGAATCTCTAATGAACACTCGGTCCGTAATCACGAGAGTACGGGGAGGCAAAAAATGGGAAGGATCCTCCATCATTTTTCTCCTGAGAGTACAAGAATAGTCTCTGTGCGTGGAATAGATTAGATGAGATGTGATACATGTAAAAGGAATCTGTATGAGGGGAATTCCCACACGAGCAATGTAGAAAAGGCCAACACATTTTTCTCCTCTCATTCACACTTCTCACTAAATATTAAGACGACATGCGAAGATTGAGATGAAGATTCTTCTCTTTCGCTATTCAAAAACGACACTTGGATGTAGCTACCTTGTATGGTTTGTCATGACACAAGGCCCAACATTCTCTCCACTAAGTATCGTTGGGCAGAAAAAAAAAAAAACAAGGACGACGTGGGAATAAACTGATATATATCCCTTTCGTGCATGGTGTCCACTGAAGTGGACGGCAAAATTTTTGGCTATAATTATGAGTTTTCAGCTATGGTACTCATACCTCAAAACTTTTGGTGCGTGCAGTCAACTCAAGGGCACATAATCTGTTCAGTGTCTCTAGTCTTTCTAGCAGCAGAACATTCGACTACTACGGCAGAGTACCTCCTTAAACGTTAAACCATAAAGGGCAAATTTTTATTTTGCTTTAAAAATTCATGCACGAAAGGGATATACAAATATGATTACGCAGGTTTCAAATTTATTGGAAATGTATCCCATATTTGTATGGTACGTGTATATCTGGTCGTCCTCACATTTTTCTGATGCTAGATCCTGAACACTTGTCCCGAACCAGAACTTTCTGGCCTAGGCAATCCCGCTATTTCCTGAATTTCTGTTCTCAACGACGCGTCACAGAGGATATCAAGTTTCCGGGGTAATTTGATTTCGACAGGCCAGCCTAGACAGATCGTGAAAGAAGGGAAAAGCAAGGGGTGACGATGATGAAAGAAAGGGACAGGAGAAGGCAGGAAGGAGAGAGAGAGAGAGAGAGAGAGAGAGAGAAGAAAGACCTTGAGCTGGTTTCTCTCTTCTCTCTTTCCTTTCATCTTTCGTCTTTCCTCCCTTGCGAGAGAGAGAGGAAGGCCCGGCTGTGTCCTAAATCCTCTCTCTCTCTCTCACTCACCAGACAGGTGAAAGAAGAGATTATTACGAGACTGGCTCTTCACATAGGGGATTCCCTGTACACCGAGTCCCTTTTTTTTTGTATATATACGAGTACCTATACCTGATATTGTGCATCCACTACAAGTGGGGGAAAACCCTCCTCGCCTTATATCCTCCGCATACCAACTACATTCAGCGGTGCGAGCACAAGCATTACTTACAGTTGTTCGCAGCTCCTTTCTCAATCAATGAACTCACGTCCCAGCGGTAAATTCTCTCCATAGCATCTGTCTGTGGGATGTGGAAGCAAGGGTGCGAGATGAAGAAGGAGAAAGCTTTACGCTCTGATACGTATTCCACAGGACAATGCACGAGAAAGTTTCTCCGCATCCACCTGGACTTCCTATATTTCCCATCGTCCGTTGGGAGCTTCTTCGGAATTCACATCATCACATTAATTTTCATACACACTTCCGTCCATCCTCCACGGTCGTGATGCTTTCATGATGCATGATATGCCAATGCCACTAATAATATCGACATTGGCAGATAGCATTCGATAACCTTCCTTTTCGTCAGGGGGATACTATACCTCAATTTATCTGTCTGCATATTCACAGCATCCCAGAGCACCAGGGTTTCTTTCATATTGTTAGTTACCGAATGATAGTTAATCACATTCACCGAATTCCCCTCAGATGAAATGACATTCGACTTTCCATATACATCCTGTTCCTCTTGGCAAGCATCATCATCGTCATCAGCCATTTTCGATCCACTGGTGGATGAAGGACCCCCACTCTCTCCAATTCACCAGAGTTAGCGCGATCCAATGCTTCACTAATCCTTCTCACTCTGATTAGCTCAGTAATATCATCTCTCTATCTCATTTTCTGTAGGCCCCTCTTCCTAGTAGTTCCTCTTGGGTACCATTTTCTCTTATCTTTCTTGATCCAACTCCCATGAGTCCTTCGGACCCGGTGGCGTGCACTTCCACTCCCGCCCCTTCAACTTCTTCATCGTGTTCTCCAGTCCTGTCCGTTCAGTGATCCAGGTATTCTCTTGTTTCTTCAGGTAATGCCTGACATATATCAACCCATTACTCTCAGGGTTGTTGGCAATTTTCTTTGCATCTTCTTGGCACGAGTCCACATCTATGCATCCGTAGGTCATTGCAAAAAAGGAAACACCGGTCGAAGACCT